ATATGATCCTTGGTAAGAGAAGGATCCCAACAATCACTTGTGAGAACTTGTTTGGTCCTAGTCCAATACAATGCCACACCACTCAGGAACTGACATTGAGGTGGTGATAGGGTGGACTTCTGTTGGCTGGTTCTACACCAATCCAACACCAGATCACCCAGGAACTGACATCAAGGTGGCAGTAGGATGGGAGCATTGGCATCTTATGAATATAATTATGAGAGGTAACCTGTGCTAAATTGACAATGTCACCATTGCCCCACCTCTCACTGAATTGGGACCTTGTTTTCAGCCCCTGGCTATTCTGTCCCAATCAATGAGGGTTCTCTATAGTCCACCACAACAGCTGTTAGAAACTGGGAAGAGGTAAGGGTCTCCCATGCTCCACGTGAGAAAAAAAAGGGGGGCTCATGGTGGGGAGACCAGGAGAAATGCCCAACCCCATCAGTTGCCTGCCGGATAGATCTTTTACTGGAGACAGTGCAATGGGTAACCGCATAATCCTATTTTGAAAAGCCAGTAAGCATGAACCAGGAATGCAGGCAGAGCAGCCCCTGCTAATGGCTTTTTCCATGAGAGTCTATGGAATGGATACAGCCTGGATTGGACAGTAGACAAACATCAGAATCTACTATGAGGATATCACAAGTGGTCTTGGAAAACACCCCATCTCAACCGTGGGCATAAATACAGAGAGCCATTATCCTGGCTTTATGCAAAATTTTAGGAAATAAGTGTACTGTGGGAAGCAACAATAGCTACCTGGCAGGATCCTCTGTACAAAAGATGTAGAGAAAAAAAATAATGTACTCATGTGACAAAGGTCAGTAAGTATACTGGAGGAAAGCAAATGAAGGCAGGCAGTAATCCACAGGAGATGATAGTGAGTGAAAAAGGTAGGAGACATAGTCCACATGCCATCCCATATGATCTCATGAAGCAGCCTTCAGAAAGAAGAGATGATGGAAAGGCAAGGTAGTACAGGACAGCATGAACAGAGCAAAACAGACAGTCTAGTTTGGTACAATCACAGATTAATGAGATAGATGGGAGGGAAATAGGAAAAAAAGGAGCAGTCACCTTTCTGAGTTGCAGTTGTCTGAGGATAGCTCAGTTAGGATAAGGAAAAAGTATGGACAATAAAAGAGGGTACTGGAACAGTCGTGAGCACAGACTGAATGATGGTGACTAACAGTGAGGAATAAGAGAAAATATGCCTTATGTGAAATAAGAAGCAGGTGGCCATTGGTTCAAATGGGGTCTAGGTAAAAGCACACAGGATAACATCCAGATTCCAATTGGACATGGGAAAAGGGTGGAGTAGTCAGTGTAGAAGGTAGAGTCAGAACAAAATGGAAAGAACTAGGGAGGAAAAACTTGCAATATTGGGAAAGACAAAAAGCTGTAGACAATGCAGTCTGAAAACTGGTGAGAGTGGAGACAAACAACCCTTTGTCAAACAGTCAAGTAGAAAGGGAAGAGATGGTCAACAGTGAGATGAACAGGTGGAAAGTGGCAATGGATAGACCAACATAGAAAAGTACCAGATTTGCTGGTAGGGTAGATGGACAACAAGGATGAGAAAGGAAGAAGGCAACCTAATGAAAAAGGCTAGCCTGATGAACGATGGATCGTACCATTCCAATCTGAAGATGGAGGTGTGTGATCCGTAGAAAAAATAGCAATGTGTAAAATTGAAAAATGAGGTTGGAAAAGAAGGGTATGGGCAGATAGAAGGCAAAGAAGAGGGAACCAGAGTTGAGCCAGCTAGAGAGGTGTGCTACCAAGATGGCACGACAAGGAGTGTCTCAAATGAATACCAGGAAAAATGGTAAGAGCAGGGGAGGTGGGTAAGCTTACAGGGAAAGATGAGATCAGTTCAGACTGAAAGGATCAACAGCCAGGGCTGAAGGATGAGGAATAGGAGACCAAAAGAGTGAGAGAGGAAGCAAGAGGTGTAGCAACAGCACCAATGATTGGAGTCCCCAGGAGAGAGCATACCCTTCAGAAATCTTGAGAGTGAAGAGACCACTCAGTGGGCAGAAGGAAGACAGCTTAGCTGAGAGATCCAGGCTGCAATAAGTACATAGTACTAGGAACAAGACATGCATTAAGGCTAACCCATTGAGAAAGGGTCCCATAAAAGGAATATGGCTGGAACTTTGAAAATCGTCCTTCAGACCAGATGAAAGGGACCAAAAGAGGGAAAAGAAGTGTCCCCCCAAACTAGTGGAGAGGTGACCATATAGTGAATGATAAAGGAAGGTCAATAACTGGTTACAATCACTGGTCTTCCTGGAAACTATTAAGAGGTGAGAGGAAACCCTGGAGAAGGGTTGTACACCCTATCTATAGTCTGTGGAAGAGATCTAACACTGTGCCTTCCAACCATTGCATATAGATGGAATCTGAGAGAGGAGGGAAGTAAACTGAGGCACAGTCTGAGGTGAATGGGAGGAAACATGGTAGGAGAGGACAAGTGCAACCTATCAGTCTTTGGATAGGTATTTCCTAAGATATGCATACCTCAGTAGACGAGTGCCTACAAGGGCTGAAACTGAACTGGTGGTACCAATGAGCCCAGTTAGACCAACATTTGGCTGAAGACTGATGAGTGGAAAAAAAAAAGGACAGAAAGAGGATAAGGAAATATGAGAAAAGTAAGATTAGGACAAGACACGAGTGGAACTTGTGGTATGGGAAAGTAAAGTAATCAAGGACAAGGAAGGATTGAAGTCAGGCAACCACCACCTGTGATGCAATGGAATCAGGAATACCACCTAATATTGAAGGATGAAAAATGGTGTGAGGTGGAGGTCCCATGAAAAAGAAGAGAGATGGCAGACTTGAGATAGAATGGTATCATTACCCAAAAATTCCCAACAACAAATGATCCAAGTGAATAGAGAAAGGACAGAAGTATGAGTGATGGAGTATGGAGAAATGAACAGGAATCACCAGGAAAGTCCTCTGAGGCTGGGTAAAGTTCTTCCGACTTGAAGTGTGGGGGTGGAAAAGTAATGAAGCACATATAGGAGGATTAGGCACAGATGGGAGAATAGAGTACTGGAGAGTGAGACCGATCCCAGCGGGTCTGCTCCCCAAACTGGGAAAAGAGAATCCAAGGACTGTTACTCCATAAGAGAAAATTCAAAAGACTGTCGGTATGAGAAGGGGAGGGGGACAGAGTTGATAAGAAAAATTAGAAATAATATCAATATCAGGAGAAAGGTCACAAAGGAGGGAACAGGAAGCTAAGATAAGACAAAATATACCTGAATCATAGGTCTCGATAATGTGAGGAAGGTTGATTATTTTTCTCAACAAAGAGATAGAGATTCCTAAAGCATAACCAAGAGGAGGAAATAAACAAACTTGTCTTCATTGTTGTAAGGCTTTGCAGAATCAGGAGAAGGAACGCCAGATCAATGTATGGGTTCCAAAACACCCGGTTGCATAATGGAACCCACTACCCTATACTGTCACTTCACCCACATTTAACGTGCCTCTAGTGGCCAAGTTGGAAACATGACTAGTGTGAGGATGTTGCTCAGTCACTCCAGTTGTAGAAGTACAACAAACTTAGGAAGGGCTGTAGTGCAAATATCATGAGTTGTCTTAAGGTTAGTGGCATGCAAATACAGATGCACAGGGAAGATAGTTTTCTGTGTGAAGAGGTGTTACAGATGCACAGGGAAGATAGTTTTCTGTCTGAAGAGGTGTTACAGATGCACAGGGAAGATAGTTTTCTATCTGAAGAG